GACGTGTCCTCCGTTTCTCAGCCCGCCGTTGGGGTTGCATAACGGGGCCGGCTGCGCCCGCCCCCACGGAAGCTGGGTATAAATAGGAGTGGTGCCTCCCCCCGCCCTGTCCCCGCAGCGCTGAGGGCTTGCGGGGCTGCAGAAGGCCTCTGAGAGCCGCTGGCCCCCGACGGGCGGCCGCTAAGGGAGGGAGAGAGGGAGGGAAAGGGCATGCGAAGAGTTAAAAGTCTGCTGCTCGTTGCGATGAAATTATTTGGCGCCGCTGCTCGTTCAGCAGCCCTCCACTTTTAAACAGTTCACAAGAAGTTCATCAGGGCGGTGATTATAACTGCACACACGTGTGCACCCCCGGGGGTGGCAAGTGCCAAGGGACGTCTTTTGGGAAAGGGATTGGCAGCTGTCAGGGTTACAAGCTCTGACCCTCTTGGATGGGCCATGGGACACCCTGCCACCTCCACAAATCCTGCACCTCTGCTTCGAAGGTGGTGGGACCTGGAGCCTCCAGATTACCCGCCAGGGCTGGGATGGCGCTCAGCCCCCGATGTAACTCCAGTGTTTCACTATCTGCACATGTCAGGGGATTGACGGGCTCTAGTTAAGGCCCAGCGCCTTATCTTAATGATACACTTCCAGTCAGGAAAGCAGGTGGGCACAGGTGGCCTCTCCGTGGAGAAGTGGCATGGGTTGGCCTCGTGTGCCTCCAAAGGAAAGCGGGGTGTGGGGCTGTGTGCCCCGAGGCCCATGTCCTCCGAGCCCGCATCCATACCTCGGGGATGAGGCAGCGCACGGGGCGGCTACTAACCTTATGTAAAACCCTAAATCACTCTCTCCATGCTGCTGCCGCCTCTATTGAAAACATTACGAGCGGCGCATCTGGAAAACAGTAAATCTGTCCAGAAACCGTCTTTCCAGTGAAATAACTCCTTTTGAATGATAGTGCGGTATCTAATCTCCGTGGATTTTTGTTTCCTCGCAGCGATTTTTTGCGGACTTCATTAGGGAAAGCTAACGGTTCTGGAGAGAGGAGGGTCAACGCTCTGTTTCATTAATATACATTTGTTCCAGACGTGGAGTTTTGCACAAAAGGCCTCTCTGAGGGGAGAAAAAAGTGTTGGGGAACAAGGCTTTCCTGCCGTTTCAGTTCTTAAACCTCTCTGAACGTGTGTGAAGTATTGTGTTAAAGGCCCAATCTGGGCTTCTTCCCCATTAAATGCCAAAGTGATCATTTGCATATTTTGCAGCCTGACAAAGGAAATGAGTTTGCTGGGGGAAGCATGGATGCTTTGGGAGACGTTAGGCATTAAACTCCCAGTGGTCAATCGCCCGTTACTGGCTTGTGTGTATGTGTGTAAAAGGAGTATCATGCCTCCCGCTTAAAGGCTTCTATTTTTGTGAGAGAGGAAGAGCTGAGGGATATCCTGTGCATTAAAGGCTCCCCCTACTTATTAACCCAGCATTTAGCAGCAGGATGCAGGCTGAAGCTCAGTCAAAAGAAACGACTCAACCTCCGAAGAGCAATTAAAATCTTGCACTGGAATAAATCATGCACCGCGATAATCCTGTTAATAAAACGCAGCTTGTCCTGACACTTCGCTCATGCAGCAAACTAGAATTTAATGCGAGCGGAGGTGGCGTCGGGCAAGGCAGAGGGGAGGAAAAGCCTTTCCCTCTCTGCTGCTGGACGCGAGAATGCGGTTACCTTTCACCTGCCTCTCTGGCTGCACGCAGCGCCGATCCTCTTGGACTGCTAATACTTCTCCAGCGAGCCCGCTAATGATTTCTTTCCCTGGAGTGAGCAGGCATCATTGAATTACTGAAAGCACTCGCAGCAGCAGCAGTAGCAGCGGCAGGAGCGGGCCGGCGGCAGCAGCGGCTCTGATGCAGAAGCCACCAGGGCTCTCGGTGCTTAATCAAATCAAGGGGTGGGGAGCTCGCCAACCCACTTACTATTTTTAACCCCTTTCTCCAAGTTAGTCATGTGCAGACGCTAAAGGGGAGGTTTTTATTTAGATCCCTTCTGTGGCGGCGTCTCTTCGGTTTTAAGTCCTTGTGTGAAAGCTTTATCAGCAATCAGCGTAGCTAATACACACGGTATGTGGCTGTTCTTGCGATGCGCTCCTGCTCCTGTGCGTTCCCAATGCGGGGCCTTTGTCAGCGCCCGTGGGTTGTTTCACGTGTTCCCCCAGTGTGCGGAGTCTCCCTCCTTGGTTGAACCTCTGTGAGGTGAAGATTTGGGGACTGGTGTGTGTACTTGGCCGGCTGAGTCATTTCTTGTTCAAATGAATTGCAGTGGAGAAACTTTTATTTGTCGATAGCCTGGAATGATTCTTAATTTTCTGGATGTGCGCTGGGGAAAAGATCCATCTCCTCTGACCTATAAATGCCCTCAATTTGCTCCTTTATTGCAGGGTATCTCCCTTAGCGGTTAACGTAGGCAGCTCACTCCCCGCACCAATCCTGCATTCATTATTAATTACCCGGAGGGAGGCTGGCTGCTCCGCCGTGATGTTTGCACTTCCTCCTAGACAAATCTGCTCAACTTTTTTTCCCCTTTTATTTTCTTTATATATTTTTTAATAGAATATAAAACCGTGAAGAAAAGCAGCGATTTTTAAGAAGACGTCATGCTTTCTGCAACTCCCCTGTATGGCAACGTTCATAGCTGGATGAGCAATGAAAGGGTCCGCATGTGTGGAATTAATGAAGACAGGTAAATATTTAAGCTTCTAGCAAGTTAAACCACACTGTAATTCTGCAGCGTGAGGTCTCAGAGTTCGCTCGCTTCCCTCATGCTGGAGTAGTTAGCTGCTGCCTTGCATCGAGATCAGCCCGGCTTGTGGGGGGAGAAACAAGACGTGCCTGAGAGCAGTGGAGCAGCCACTGATTTACTATTTAACAGGCAACCTGGGTCAGTGAAGCGGGGACGTCCTTTAAAGAGATTACTCCCCAAAGCAGCCTCTAAACGCGCTTTTGCAATTAATTTATTATTTCGCATTTGTGAAGGGGAATTAAGCCAAATAGTGCACGCGTTCTTGCAGTGACTCTGTACGGCAGAGGGGCTCTTGCCCGTGCCTTGGCGTTCCCTGCCTTCAGATCAACCGCTTGTCCTGTGAAATGGGAACAGCGGCCTATCCATCTCCCACAAGTGAATTTCTCTTTCTCCTTTTTTTTGCTGAATATTGTTCATTTGATGATGAAAATTACAGTCTTTAATAATTTTTTGGTGGGTTGATGCAGGCACTGACTGGTGTCCTCTTCCCTTAAACCCCAGCTTTTTAACAAGTGAAACGACACTGAACAGAAGCTGCAGGTACGCCTGTGGTTCTCTGTGCCAATTTTGTGTGGTTTTAGTGTTTTTCTGTCTTTTGAGTCTGTGTTCTCACTGTTGTGTGAAAAGACTCTAAGAAGCTAGAGAAAGTTTTTGGTCTTTGCGGAGAAAAACTATTTGCAAGCATAAACTGGAGGAAAATGGCCAAACGTCTCACTGTGCTTTCGCACCTTCTCTCCCCATTTTTCTCTCAGTTATTTAGACATAATATTTTTACGTGCTACTTGCAGGAAATGCGAGTCTTTTAAAAAAGAATAAACAAATACATTAAAATCGCATTTCTGCTTTAAGGTGATGATGTGCCTTTAAGCACTTTGATTGAAGGGAGTTCTTTTGGGTAATGCTGAAACTTTCCTTCTGCTGCATGTCAGCGATTTTTATCCCTGGGATTTTAAATTTGGCACTAAGGTATATTCTTTATCAGTGCTTTCTGTGATAACAAGTCCCAGTGCTGCAACACTGGTATGGCACAGATGTGCAGCTCCCTCTTTAGCATGGAACAGCTGACGTTCGTATGATATTAGCGTGTGTGTTCTAATTTTCTCCTCAGTGGCGTTTATGGACGGTAGATGAACAGGATATGTTTAAAATTGGATATTCTTTCCTTGCAAGAAGAAAAGAGCGAGGGGCAAAGGAGAAGACCTTGAAAAAAATCACTTACATTGGAAGAGGTTGCTCTGAGGTGTGCTTGGTGTGTTCTCGCTGTCAAAGCCCTTTATGCTTGTTTTCAAATGCTCCTTGCCCAAAGTAGTTGTTGTGCATCAGTATGGAGAAGGGTAAATATGGTGAAGGATAAATATGGTATCATATGGGTCTTCTCTAGGGGAATCAAAATGCGGAGGTGATATAATCTGGTGCTGATCTGAGATGCATGGGTTGTTTTCAAATAGTATGCTTCTGTTTTTTAATAGGAAAATTCCCGTTAACGATGGCGATGCACCGAAAAGCAGACTGGAGTTGAGGGAAGAAAATCACCTAAATCACAGTGTGGTAAGAAATTTATAGTTTCATGCTGCAGCTGAATCTGTGCCTGTCCTCTCCACCTTGTCTCCCACCCCGGGGTATTATTACATGATCCATGCGGAGAAATGAACTACCTTTCTGTTGTGCCTTTAGCTGAGTTTGGGCACATATGGGTCGTTTCTGTGACAGAAACAGTGAAATGGGACTTTTTCAATTTATCATGTTAATCTCTTGACACTGGCTTTGTGGTGTTGTGTTGTTGTGTGACATCATATTCTTACTCTCACTCTGTTATGAATAATGTCATGCAGCATATCCACATGTCTAACAGGAATAGTTCATGTAAGTGTTAACTACATCAACGTTTCAGCAAAGTTGGTGGTTTTTTCCTTCTCTGAGTGTATGTGGGGAGCAGCAAGTGGGAAAGAAATTCGACAGTGAATTTTCCTTCATGCCGTGTCTTCAGATGCCTTGTCCTGTGAATCATGTGGCAGTGTTGAGCTCCAGAGCAGAACTGTGGCAAAGGCAGAGGTCCTGGAGGTGGGGGAGGAGAGGTTCTCCATCCTTTCCTTCCCACTTTCTGTGCCACCAGCCCACATCGTCTTGCTCTGGTGCGGATGGGGCTGAGGAGCTGGTTGCTGCACAGGAGCAGTGCCACTGAGGATCATCTCTGGGCCATGTCTGGCTGCATGGGCTGTGAGTCGTCACGCGTGTGCTTCTAACCAATGGATTTTGGGAGAGACTTGTTTTGATGTTTGTTGTGATATATATATTGCTCTGTAGGTTCCTGTTCTGCTGTTCTCCAGCATGATGAGCCTCTGTAGGTTTTCATGACACACAGGGTGTTTGCATTGGTATTGTTTCTCCTTCAAATGCTGACGTGTCTGTAGCTTGAGTGGTGGTCATTGTAGCGAAATGTGAAAGTAACGTACTTTTTGTTCTGTGAAGGTGGATGCGACTGCAGCACATCGCATTGACAGTCTCGCAGCTCTGAGTATGGACAGGTCTGGACTCATGCGAGAAGGACTCAGAGTCCCCAGTAGTATTGTCTATTCCAGCTTGTGCGGACTCGGCTCTGAAAAATCACGGGATGCTACGGGTTCAATAGCTGGGCTCGGATTTGCTCCTGAAAGAAATCCAGAGATACAGTTTAAGTCTAATCCCCCTGAAGTGGTGGAAAATGCAGCTGTCTCTGGAAAAGCCCCGAATGGCTTCAGCGCTATATACAAAACGCCACCTGGAATACAAAAAAACTCTGTCCCGACAGGAGAGACGCTGGGTTTGGACCGAGCTGCAGGTGACAAGCAGAGTCCCCTCGGTGTCAATGGTGCTAGTTACCTAAGGCTTCCCTGGGTAAACCCCTATATGGAGGGCACAACACCCACCATATACCCTTTCCTTGACTCACCAAATAAGTATTCATTGAACATGTACAAGGCATTGCTACCTCAGCAGTCCACCTACAGCTTACCGCAGCACCTGGCTTACTCGCCTGTATGTACGAACGGTGAACGTTTTTTATACCTGCCTCCTTCCCACTACGTTGCCCCCCACATCCCTTCGTCGCTGGCATCGCCCATGAGGCTCTCAACTGCTTCAGCTTCACCGGCGATCCCACCTTTGGTGCACTGTCCGGATAAGAGCTTGTCTTGGAAGATGGGTGTCAGCCCCGGCAACCCCGTCGACGCGCACACCTATCCCCACATCCAGAGCAGCAAACAGCCCCGGGTCCCTGCCGCCAAGCCGGCCCCTGCCAACATCCCGGCGGACCCCGCACTCCTGCTGCCACACTCGCCCCGGCCGTCCCCCCGCCTTCCCCTGCCCACCCAGGTAGGGGGGGATGCCTACGCCGATTTCCACAAACACTTCCCCAGGATCACCACCTCTCCTTCCTCTGCTGTTACCCTCCCAAAGCCCTATGTGAACGTTGGCGGTGAATTTCCACCCTCCCGCCTCTCCAATGGGAAGCTTCCCAAAGGCAGTGATGCTGGGGAGGCACCCCTGCCGGCTGCCCCCCATGTACGGAAAGCCAGCCATGACCGGAAAGACAGCAGGTCTCCCCCGCTCCTGGAAAAGCAGACCCCGACCAAAGACGTCACCGACAAACCACTGGACTTGTCGGCGAAAGTTGTCGATGCGGAAACCGCTGGTAAGTCAGACCACGGTAAAAAAATGACGCCGACAGTGCTGGTGCACAGTAGGACGGGAGGGGGGACGCACTTGCCCAGCAGTGACATCGTTCAGAAAGAAACTATTTCTCCTGGGAACGGCTGCCCCATCTACAGGCCTGAAATTATCAGCACGGCACCCTCCTCCTGGATTGTTCCCGGGCCCAGCCCCGGCGAGGAGAGCGGGAAGAGTGTCCAGCTGAAAAACAAGGCGCTGGACTGGGTAATCCCACAGCAGCGGAGCTCCTCCTGCCCCAGAATGGGCGGCACGGAGGCGGTTGTCGGCAGTGTTTCGGGGACGGTGTCAGCAGGAGGGCGGCCAGCGTCAGCATCACCGGCTCCCAATGCAAATGTGGATTGCACCAAGACAGCCAGAAGCTCCACAGAGAGCACCGCCTCGGTCATACAGCACGTCGGGCAGCCCGTTGCCACCCCCACAAAACACAGCAATAAGGTGGCCAAATCCTGCAGCCAGGAAGCCAACTTCAAGACGAGCGAGACCACCCTGGCTTCCAGCCCCATCTTCCTGCCGCCCAACGAGGCGTTTCGCTCTCCGCCTCTGCCCTACCCCAGGAGTTACCTCCCATACCCGGTGCCGGAGGGGATAGCCATCAGCCCTCTGTCCCTTCACGGGAAAGGACATGTGTATCCGCACCCCGTCTTGCTGCCCAATGGCAGCCTCTACCCTGGCCACCTGGCTCCCAAACCTGGCCTCCCCTACAGCCTGCCAGCGGGGCGGGGGGAGTTCATGACCTACCAGGACGCGCTGGGGATGGGGATGGTGCACCCCATGCTGCTGCAGCATTCGGCTTTGGAGATCAATAAGGATGAGAAGGCAGAAAGAAGGTCGCGGTCTCATGAGAGGGTCCGCTATGAGGACCCGGCTCTGCGGGGCCGGTTGCCGGAGCTCCTTGAGAGCAGTGGGAAGATGCATTTCGAAGTGCCCGGTGACAAGAGTGTGAAATTGCACCAGAGCTCCAGCCATGGTAAAAACTCGACCAAAAGTGACAAACACCTCTTCCCAGATCTTCTGCGAGATGAGCAAGAGGCTAAAAGCGAAGCAAATGTAACGAAAGCCAGCTTTGCTAGCGAAAGCAGTAATCAGGCTAATGACCCTACAAAGCACAAGGTAGAGCAGGCGTCGCAGCACAGAGATTTTATTGTAATGAGAGAGGAGTTTGGAAGAAATAATGATCTTCACGAAACCTATAATTTCAAGCAAGCCCAGAGTTCATCGGTTTTTGGCTTAAGGAAAGAAGATTTATCTGTGAGCCAGCCTAAAGAGAGAGTGACGGTCCAGCCTGCGCCCGCTTTCTTGGAAAGCGCTCACGAGAACGATGCTCCGACTCTGGCTTTTGGCAAGGTGCAGGAGGACGCGAAGCCATTCTGCATGGGGACCGCGCCACCCAGCATCGATGCCAGCCAGACCTATACCAAAGACGGGGCTGACGACGCAGAGTCGGCCGATGGCAAAATACTGAAACCCAAGCCATCTAAGTTGGCCAAGAGGATCGCAAACTCTGCCGGTTACGTAGGTGATCGATTCAAGTGTGTGACGACCGAATTGTATGCAGACTCCAGCCAGCTCAGCCGGGAGCAGCGGGCGTTGCAGGTGAGTCCGTGCGGTCCAATGGCCGCCGCGCTTTTTGTCATTATTTCTCTGTTGCAAGTCACAGTCAAGTATTATTAAGGCTGAGAGAAGCAGCGCAGGTGGGGAAATCAGAAACTTTTTCGTTAGGGCATACTTGCCAGAAACGGTTTTAAATAGCAAAGTAAGTTTGTTAGTGAGGGCGAGGCGATGCAAAGAATAGTATGTATGGCTTTTATGTATGTACGCGCTAGTAAGCTTTAAAGGGCTTTTACTAAGATCTGATTAAAATGTTAATGTACGTATGAAATGTTTGTGCAGTTATGGAGGGGATTCGGACAGGCATGCATGTTACCTTGGCGCTAGCAGTGGCTGTAATTTCTCGGCCGGCCTGTAGTGCCAGCCAGCAAAGCGTACCCAGAAGTTGTGATTAGTATGCCAAACGTGCCGTTTGATGGAGAGGAGTCGCAGCCATGTATTAGCGGGTCTCAGGCAATGTTTGCACCAAGTGAACGCGTAGGGAAGAGTAGGAGCGGTATTGAGGTTGATGCTGAGGGATGACAGACAGATATTGTATAGGAATATCCTTAAGATATTTTACTTTTAATGAAAGGATGAGTTAAGCCAAATTGTTTTGCATTGTTAAGAAAAGAATTGGTTTATGCTTATAAAAATGGATGAAATTATCTAAATGATCCATTGAGTGCCCATTTTAATTACATAGATGGAAGGATTACAAGAGGACAGTATTTTATGTCTACCTGCTGCTTACTGTGAGGTCAGTTCTTCAAATTTTTATTACTAGACTCTTACATAAACCTTTGAGTTTAAATTTCATTTCCAAATACACAAAGGGAAGTTTGTGGGCCATAGTCGTCTTTATTCATTGTATGGTTTTGTGTTGTTTTGTTTTGTTTTGTTTTTTGTTTTTGTCTCTTTTTACCTCCAAAATGGAATGTTTTTGTTTTATATACAGTATACATTTATATATATATATCTTTTATATATATATCTATACTTATATATGAAAGAATTGTGTGGCTATTTGCATATAGATGCTAGAACACTGTTTTATAAGTCAGGTGTGTTAAACTACCCTAGCTATCTGTCTCAAACCTTGGTTTTGAGCCGATTTTTCTTTGGAAATACTTTCATATAAGGTAAGGTAAATGAAGTAGCTTTTATCGCAAGACCTTTTTTTTTCATATCAATTCTCTTTCTAGCGTGCAATGATGCGCTTCTCAGAGTTGGAGATGAAAGAGAGAGAAGGCCAAACAGCTACCAAAGACTCAGAGGTCTGCAGATTCAGCCAGGCAGACTGGGAAAACTTGAAAGGAAACAGTGAAAAGAAGCCAAAGTCTGTCGCTCTGGAAGATGCCATTGCTGACCAAAATGACAATGACAGATGTAAGCGAATTTAGATGGCTTTCTGAAGCGCGTATGTGTCTCTGTGCCGTGGCAGCTTGCAGAGAAGCTGTGCGGACGGCGTAATCTTCGTGTTCTCGCGGTGTTTGTTGCTGGTTAAAGTCACTGCCCTCAGCCTCCACAGGTACGGAGCTGCCTTGGCTGGCGCTCTCCGTGCCTGTTTTGGGGTCTGCAAGTTACTGGTTAAGGTTGTACCTGTTTTTCAGGAGATAGTTAGCTGTCACCAAAGTTACTGTCTCAAAGAGATCGTCTGTGTAATTGATGAAGTACCACACCAGCCAGTGAAACGAAAGCTCTAAGATTGTGTTTTAAATGCAGAAAGAGTGAGAGGCAACAAGGGGTCCAGCTTCCTGAAGGTACTGTAGGGCTGGGAAATTCCAATGTTGCAGCATGCAGGCAAAGCAAGGAGAGAGGATAGGAGGGTGATGGGGAGCGGGAAGGGATGTGATCTGCCGGGGTGGGTTATCCCAAAAAGCTGTCTGTAAAGGTCCTAACAAGGAGAGGCTGGTTTGCCTGGGTGACTGCTTGCCATGGTGGCCAGGGATAGTGCTGGCTGGCACAAGGCCTCGTGGGCAGGCGGGGGGGGGGCTGTGAAATTCCCTGGGGGGGCTGGCTGCTCCCTGTGGGCGGTGGCAAGGTGTCAGAGGACTATGGAAAATCCATGCTAGCAACATTATTCTAAAAGTAAGATAAACTTAAAAGTGAATTCATAGATCCTATTAGGGGATTTTTTTTACTGTATGCAAGAAAAAGAATTGTTTTTTTTGACTCTTGGTTGATGTGACATCAGTTTCCTAATTTTTTTCTTTTACCTATATAATTAAGGAATGGATCAGTTCCTCCTGCTGCTGTTTTTGTTTTTAACAACTTGGAAAAAAATATGGTGAAAGTGTAGCAAAACAAGAGGAAACACACTGCGGATTGCATCGTGTGTGTGTGTGTGTGTGTGTGTGCACTGTGTGACTTGGTGGTTAAGCGTGCTCTTCTGTAGGTGGAGATTCATGAGTAGGGCTAGTAGAAAATTTCATTCAGGCAATTTAATAACTTTGAATTATTGTTCTGGTCTTTGGTTAATGCTTTTGGCAGAGAGCATGCTGGTCAACCGTACTTGCTCGGTTACTCACCTAAATCAAGTTACTGTGGTATTGCTGTCACTGAAATAACAACCTCAACAAAAATCAGCCTGGCAAAATAGCAAGGGAAAGTGTTAATTGTGGAAGTGGAGATGATACCAAGGTGGGAAGAACGAAGACTCTGAAGACTCAGCCCCCTGCAAGCTGAGTGTGCTTTGCCTTCTCCAAGCTGTATTGAGGCAGCTTTAGGGAGGAAGGCACTGCTGCCTTTGCAGTCCCCATGCTAAAGCTGAGAGCTTGGCAGGCTGCTGCCCTGGCTCCCCTCCTTGCTCCTCAGAGGACTCAGGGTGCCCTGGTGATGTCCTCTGTTAAATCCCACTCTGGATGTACTGGGAAGCATAAAGAGCAGTAGCAGCAGGGTCCTGTCAGCTTGCTCTGGCTGCAGGGCAAGATGTATCGCTCGGGGGAGAGGGTGATGGTGGTCTGAGGGGTCAGGGTGGCTGCAGGTTGTGAGGGACAGCCTCCTTGGGGGTGTGGGACATGCTGCTCGTCGGGGGAGGTGCTGTGGGGAGGAGGAACCCTGGAGCTGAAACAGCCCCCCTCTCATCCTTGCAAAAGGCTGATGATATGATGCGTCCTTAAATTAATCATTTAATGATGTCTCCGGCACTTTAATCTGCTGGCTAAAATGTGTTTGAGACTATTAAATAACTGTTGGAAGCAGGGAAAGTATGTTCAGTCTTATGTTAGTTCGTTCTTCTCCTCTGCTAATTAGCTCTGACTTAACAGGCTATTTCAGAGTTTGGCCGAGTGTCTGAACCCTCGAAGTGCAGATCTGTTCTGCTGAGGGAGCTCCTCTTCTGTACAGCAGCAAATACTTACTGGTAGAGATTCAGCTCTCAGTAAAAGTTTTTTATCGTGGTGATTCACCTCCTGCCCCTTGGGATAGCAGCTGATAAATCAGGAAGCTGAGTTTCGCACTTCCTGAATGCCGCTAGTGTAGTGGCTTGGGGCTCTGATAGGGCTTGAGCCACCAGCGGTCTCGATGCGTCTCTTGCTGAGTGACTGGCAAAGGAGTGATGGGCTCTGCCTGCTCTGCCCCTTCCTTTATCACCAGTGAGAGACAGGGCTACTTATTTCTTGCCTTCCCTTTCCCTCTTAATTTCTAACCATGCTGTAGGTGTGTTTGGCTTTAAAGCTCTCAAATGGGACCTAGCTGATGGTTTGCAACCTCTTCCGTTTTCCTTTCCGCAAGGGATCTTGTTGCTGAAAAGACGTTTCACTTTGTTCTACGTAGCGTTGGTCCAGCGCTGGCTAAAAGCAAAGTGACCTGCCTTTACATGTGCGAACGGGGAATTTAGGAGTCAAACCGGTGAGCTGTTAGGCACGACCCCTGCCATGAGCGCTTCACCTGCCTGGTGTCGGTGGGGAAGAGGAAAACCACAACCGAAACTGTGATTGTGACCCGAAGGCGTCTCGCAGGGCTCCTCCGCTGCCTCCTCAGTGTGGCTGGGGGCGGGGCCTGGGGGGGGCCGGCGCGGTGCTGGGGGGGGCGCGGGGGAGCCGATGGGGCCCTAGCAGCTGCTCGCCCCCTCAGCTCCTCTAAATCCACCAGTGCGACGGCAACAACAACAACAACAAAAGGCTCAGTTACACAGGCAGATGATGCTTACAGAGGCATCTGATAGGATGGAAGCTCCTTTTTTTAGCATGCCCTGGGTCTTGCTGATTTTCCTACTTTTATAGCATGTGTACAGACTTTTTTTGAAGCAAACCGAGTCACAATATCCAATTCCTTGAACTTTTCATCTAACTTGGTGGTCATGGCTTTCCTGTACCAAGAGCCTTCTTAAGCTTCACGGTGCCTTCTGGAGAAGGGTAAAAAGGTGATTTTGTTTTGACACCCCCCCCCCCCCCCAAGGACTGATTTAAAAGATGTGGCCATGTTAGCTAATTAATGAGCAATTAAAGCTAAGGAGTAAAGCAGAAGTGCTTTAATTCTCTCCCATCTCATTTAGGTTTTGCCAGGCGTTCTGAGAGCAGCCGCGAAGCTGCTTTGTTGCCAAGGTGACTTGTAAATGTTGCTGAGGCGATGCTGCTCCGGTGCATTTCCATAGCACAAACATGATAAATTATGGGATGCTTATGTCATGAGTCATAGGATTGTTCAGAGATCAAGTGATTTAAGCTATTGGCACGGACACATGCATCAATATGGGCATGGGCATGTGATGATCGCCTGTCGGTCCATAACAAAGCTCTTCTAGCGGTGTTGAAAAATCATACCCGAGCGTGAAAGATTGAATAAATTCTACAAGCTGTGAATTTCTTAATCGGGGAGTGTAATGTTACCCGTTTATCTGATTTTTATAGGAGGAAGACACTGTCCATTCAAGCCTTAGCTGGGAAAAATAAGACCTGATATGTTAAAAGCCTGATTATAAGGCATGAGGAAAAAGTTAAAACAGTTTCTTTGTGTGAAAGTAAATGGTGTAATGTGCCAAAGCCTTTAGAGCTGACCTTCAGCGTCTGAGCAAGGTGCTGGTGTCCCTTTGCGTGGTAATCCCCTGCTTTGCGTTTCATGCTGGACTGTGTGTATACCTGAACAAATGAAAGATGGAGGTGGTAAACATGTCCTTTGCCCTGGTCAGTTATTACCTTCCTGTGATGGGACATAGTGCAAAGAAACACAAACAAACAAAAAAGAAACAAAACCCCAAACAAACAAACAACACCACCAACAAAACCGTCCAAAAGTCTGTGCAGGGAGAATGGTGGTTGCTTGTTTGTGCAGTGTGGTAGGCTTGGGCAGAAGGAAACACATGTGGAAAGCTCCCGAGCAGAGGTACTTGGAGGGACAGATGAAATCAGCTGGGTTCCCTCTGCCCCATGGGATGCTCAGAATTGGATCCTGAAGGTGACTTATGGAATTTCTTACTGTTGTGAATACTGGGTTTTAGCATTTGGATAGTCATTACCATCCTGGGATGAATAAAGGGTGCCTTGCTTAAGTGACTGCAAGGAGAGGCTGCTTCAGGGAAGAGGAAAGGCTGTTTTTAGCTGCCATGTTATTTGAACAAAAGAATCACACGGCTCAAATGCTAGGATGTATTTCCTTGTTTGCATTGCATGGGAGGGCCTGGTCTCAAGCAGCTGACAGCAGCAGGAAGATGTTAAAATGAAGGAAAGTTTTTTTTTGGTAGCATGTTTGTGTGTGTGTAACTGTTTCTCATGAGATTGTAACACGTGCACTAAGGAGATGCTGCTTCAGGCAGGAACCATGTGGGAAGAAGCATCTTCTTAATTCTTCCTTGTTTCTAGTTGGGTAGGACAGTGAGAAATGGTTTGAGTTGTTGGTGTTGGTTCTCACAGCTGGTGTGAGACTGGCGAATGCTGGAGGCTGGAGGAAGGAACACGTTTAGGAGTTTAATCTCCTTTCTCATAGAGGTGTGTTGCTATGAGAACTCGGCATTTATCCTGTGTTTCTGGCTACCTCGTCGCTGTTTGAATAATGATGATGCGAAAACTCTCAAGTATTTTGTTGTTGTTTTCCTCAGGCGGAGAAAAGGATGTTGTAGATACGTGGCGGGGGGAACAAAAGCAAATAAATTCTTCTTGTCCTTGTTGGGCATGCATGATATGCTTATATTGCCATGCCTCATGTTGACATTTATATCTTAATTTGGGGAGACATCGCGTCTGATCCGAGTTGCTTGCAAAACAGTTTGAGGACAGAGTGGAATCCAGTGGTAAAATATTAATAGAGCCTGGGCTCCATGAGGCGGTCGCCGCTGTGCCGAGGGGAAAAACCTCTGGGTGTGCGATGCATCCATGCAGGCTGCATAGAGAGCCTGACAGCCTGTGGGTTGTGCCGTGTCCCCAGCAGCGAGTGACCTTTGTTCTTTCGCAGCGAAAATCTGGCTGTAGGAGAGGCGGGGAGCGTCACTGGCAGAGCAGAGAGGCAAGGACGCAGCTCCCCGGCTTCGCCATCTCTGTCCTCCCGTGTTGATGCAAGATGATTATGCAACCCAGATTAACGTGCGGAGATGCCGCTCCTCTAATGGTCTTAACTGCATCTAGCGAGACGGATTTCAGAGGCACGTGTGCGGCAGGCAGTCCTCGAGAGAGATTTTGGGCTCAGTGGCTGAGGAGATGTAGCACTGGTCGCCTGAGGGGTCCCCCTCAGATGTGACAGGAGAGCGGAGGCAAAGGTGTCACAGAGCTGGTGGCAGTGAGGGCTTTTTGGATGAGCTTCCAATAGGTGTGTGTTGTTCTTGGCAGCACGTGGAGCCCCAGAGAAACGCCGTTGGTGACGAGCTCTTAGCAAGGTTCCAGCAAATGTCTCTCCCCTCCTTTTTATTTTTAGCACGGACGATCTGAGTGAGCGGCGCTCGGCATCCCTGTGCCAAGTCCTCTCACAGATAGAGAAGGAATTAATCTGCAGCGGGTCGCTCTCGGTGGTGGCAGGCTGGAATTAGCTTGCTGTTTCCTGCAAACCCCAAGGATTAAGGCCATCAACCCCCCCTCCTACAGCCTGCTACTTCCTCTGACCCTGCGAAAGCTTCTCCGGGAATTGGTCAGGATGTGCCTGCCTTTTCTCAGGCCAGACAGTGTTAGGAGCAGGGAAGCTGTCCCGATCTAGGGACTCCTGGCGTGAACCATGGTGTGGTCGCTGGTACCGCTGGAGATGCGAAGGCTATGAGTGCCCTTACCTGATTGGTTTGGGGAAACTGAGAGTATAAGTATAATGTTTCCTTATGTAAGGGGGAAAAATAGCAGATTGCATTAAAAATGTAAAATGAAATCCGATAGAAGCATTTCTAAAGTGATACTTAAAACGGGGCTGGTCCAGCTGCTTTTATGCTATGTGAAACAGGACTGCTGGTGCTGTTGATGTGGCTACAGGGTACAGCTGTTGGGCAGCATCTTCATGCCAGATGTGCAAGTTTGAGGTGTTTCGAGATTCATTCTGCTTTGGGAGGACACTGGCGATTTAGACGCACAGTCGTAATAAGCTGAGATACCCATTTTCTGGAACATGTCATCATTCCTGGCTGGAAGAACTGTGACAAACTGCGTTTTAAAGTCTTGAAGGGAGCAGGTGTTGGCCAGACGGCCTTGTGGAGAGGAGAGTCGCCAAATAGTAGAATGGCCCGAGCATCCCGCCTGCCTGGAAAAAGTCAACTTTTGTTTTGATTTTTCTTGGCTAAATATCTTCTGCTGGTTTATAAAGCAGCCCTGAAGGCAGCTTCCCAAGCAGCATAAAAATGATGCTATGGTATCTTCTGGTGCCTGCAAACATCTCCAGAGCCCTAGGTACTACTTGGAGCCATTTCCAAGTTGTGGTGAAGAGAAACCTCATCAGAGGGGTGTGTTCCCCTGCCTCCCTTCCCTACGCCTTCTCTCCCATGGCAATGGGTATTCCAAAGAATGTTGTGAAACCAGGTGGTGTTGGGAGAGCTGTAGGAAGGTGCTCCCAAGATAAGGCAGGATGTGGACAGTGCCTGGATGCTGCTATGGTGGGTCTCAGAGGTCATGGGAGGGGAGAAGGGGTTGTGGGGGAACAACGTCTGCCCTGGCAAGGGGGAAGAGCAGACATTGAAGGCCAGGCTGTACGAGGGAGGAGGGAAGGAAAACAGAGTTGTCAGGAGTCCAGGTGGAAAAACCAGCAGATGTGTTTGCAGTAAGGGAAGTGGGAGAAGAAGGAAGGGAAAGGAGGAGGACGAGGGAAAGGGACAGTGAGCTGAGGGCACGCGGGACAGAGCATACGGATGATTTGTCAAACAGCGGCAGACACATGGAAGGAGTGTATTGGTCAGCCAGGAGGGCTGAAACACATGGGAAAACCAACTTGTTTGTGAAGATTGTAAATAGGAAGCTGATTAACCGTGTGGCAATCTGTGCTCCATGTCTGCCTAACTGTATCTTGGCTAGTTGGTTAAACCCAAGAAAAAATAACTATTCAAGGTGATGATTAAGTGTCATTTTAAGTCAAGCATCCATTTAAAACCGCTTAAGCTGTCTCTAAATTTGGAGGAATGGTATTGGAGAGGGAAAGTTGAAGTTAAGGCAAGCATGGCAACGTGGGTGTTTTTGTGGCTAGTTTTTGTCAGACTAGTTTCTAGTAAACTTTTCAAAGCTCGCCTGCTCGCTGGTGCTGGAAATATTCCCTGAAAAAAGTGAGGTCTTTTTTAAAAGGAGGTGACAAAGATCATGTGGCGTACAGTGACTGGCTGGTTACTTGAAGTGAGGAAGCCTTTTTATAACCTTGGATTCAAGTAGTGCTTTTTGCAAAATATCACAGCTATTCTTAGTGGTATTCCCGTGTACGTGTGTGCGTGCTCCATGTCCCATTTATATCTCCAGAAGAAGGAATGAACGCTTTTAAGTGAGACTCTGCAATTCGATGCAAGAAGTTAGGGAAGGATAGGAATTAGCGAAAGACCAATACTTTATTATCACCAGAAGGTATTTTTGAAAAGGAAGTCATTGCAAAGTGGAGCTTAGATTATTACTTATTGCTGTTTGGGGGGGGGGGCGGAGTTTGAGGTTGCTGTCTAAAAATGGCCTGTGCTTTTAATATCTAAAGATGTTTTGTTATTTAAAAAAGCGCGCTGTGACGTTTCTATAGAGACAAGTATTGTGAATATTGTACTTCTTAAATTGATGTGAAAACAACACAAAGTATCGCACTTTTGTGGGTTTTGTGCTTAACTGTTGAGAAAACTGCTGCCTTAGGCTGACTGGAGGAGACTTGGTTCCAAAGTACAATTTTGTGTTTATTTGCATGCCTCGTGAGCCATAAGTCATGATGGAGTTGACATTGAAGAGATCAGAGAGCATAGATTTCTCACAATGAACTGTTTTGTATTTATTAGGTCTTGTGGTGTTTGTTGCTTCGTTTTTAGGTAACTTTACTAGTGCAGAAAACAACCAAGGTCACTTTCTTGAAACTCCAGAGGAAAAAGATCTCTCAAATGAGAAATGTTATTTAGAGAGACATTCTATATATGAAAAAGCGGAAGACCAGCCAACAGAAGATATTGGCCAGCATCCATGTCCATGTCTGGACAGGAAGCGTAAACACTCTGGTGAGAGAGTGCAAAATGATGGCAGCCAAAATGAAAACTTTGTGGATGAACTGCAGGATGAACTTATATCAAAAACAAAAAAGAAGAAGAACTCCAAAGGTAAGACAGCATTTTGCTTTGGTCTCTCTCAAGGAATGTCTTGTGAAAGGAACGTCCCTTTGGCTTAATGTGTTTCCATTTTTGAACTTGATAGTTACTGATGTGAGCACTGTCATCTCACTTAAAATTATAGCTATGTATATATATGTATGTATATATATGTGTGTATATATATATGTATGTATATATAAAAAGCTTGGTATATAAGGGTAAAGCACTAGTCATTGGACACTGTAGCCACAGCAGTGCAAGTTACTGTAGTGCATGTAACCCTTAATGAGCAAACCTTTAAAATGCATAGTGTGGTGCTAAAGCTGAGATTATATGCCCCGAAAGTGAAATGTAGCTTTTGTTTTAAGTTGAGGGGGCTTTTTGATTAATTTTTAGTTATTTTTCCATTAGATGACTGGCCTGAGAGGGAAATGACAAACAATTCCTCTAACCACTTAGAAGAGCCCAATTGTAATGAGGTGACCAACCTGAAGGTGTGCATTGAATTAACAGGGCTCCATCCCAAAAAGCAGCGTCACCTGCAGCATCTTAGGGAACTATGGGAGCAGCAGGTGTCACCAGAGAGATCCCCGTCCGGCAAGTTGGGCCGGCAAAGCAGGAAAGATTTAGCTGAGGCTGTTCAGCCAGAGGCCACTGCAAAGGTCAAAGACTTCACAGAAGAAAGGCACACCAAGAAAAGGTCAGAGGCCAAAAGCAATAGAAGTTGGTCTGAAGAGTCCCTCAAAACAAGTGACAATGAACAAGGTATGCAGAGACTACTAGGGAAACCAGCTGGCTTTAGCATTTACAGTGACGCATGCTGCCACCGATGTTAAGGAACTGTCGAGAGCTTTTCTTTTTTCTTTAAATTATATATATATATTTCTGTCCATTGTATAAGGACTGACACTTCCTCTTTAAGAATCACTGTAGCTGATATTTGGCAGACAAGAAAATGTGTTTGTGTATGTGCGTGTACCTATGTGTTTGTGCATGTGTGTGTGTGTGTTTTGGCTTTAAATACTCTTTCATAGATAACGCGAAGATGAAGTTTATGTCTCTAGAGGAGAGCTGGGTGGGCGGTGTACAAGGTGGACATGCTTCTGGGCGAGGGAGGGAGCAAACGGGCTGCTAGTTGGTGTAAGAGCGTTTAACCTCATGTAACTTTTGAGGGGCTGTGACCCTCTGAAACAGCGTCAGCCCAGCTAGCAGCTCTTGATCTCGGGAACCCAACGCCTCCAGCACCCTCAGCACTGCTGGATTTCCCTGCCTTTCCTAGGACATATGCTCAAGAGCAAAGCTCATCCTCTTCCTGAAGAGGAAGCCTTGCTGCTTTGACCTGTGAATGTCCTGTAAACCTCTGTGGCCCCACTCCCCAGCCCCTTGGCAGGGATCTTCCCCACAGCTCTTTCCTAAGGGGTGGCTTACTTAAAGCACATCAGCTTTCCTTGACTGGTTTCTGGCTGCTTCTTTCCCCCTCACTGTACTTCCTCCTTTTCCGCATCCTCTCCCCCTTTTCTGCCCATTCCCTATGCGGGGGGAGAGCCCATGGAAGCACTCAGCCAAATTTTCCTTCGGATGGACAGGTCACTCTCCTGTCCTGCTGTCCTTAGCCCCTGGGCACATATTCTGCTCTGCTGCTTTTTCCCTTGCATGCAACGTTTGCTGCCGTACCATGGTTGAGAGGCTGGTCCCTGCACCTCATTGTGAATCACGACTCCTCTGGGCATAGCAAGGGAGCTCTTGTCTCCTCTTTTGGCTTTTCAGGTAGAAGGTTGCACGTATTTTTCTTCTTTCCTCTCCTCCTCTCACCCCTCCAAGTCCTCTGCCTGCTTTTGAGGAAAGGCTGTTTCTGGAAGAGTGAGCTCCGAGTTGGAGCTCCTTCCTCCTTCAGAGACCTGGGAGCTTCATCAGACTGTTAGACATTCACCCTCCAGCTGGCCTAACCTGTAGTTTAGCTCAGCTCCCCTCAAAAGAGAGAAGCACGGGTGGATCCTTTTCCCATGCCACGAAAAGGACTGAGTCCAGGTCATCCTGCACTGGTGAGAGTTTTCCTGGGTAGCATCTCCAGAATGTTCACAGGCAAAAGCATTGGCTTCCCTGCTGTCCTAAAGCTCCTCACCCATCTTTTCCCTCAGTAGGATTATCTGAGGACAGAAAACCCCAAACTTTGATGCTTATTGATGGGGAAGGTTCTCCAGAAGGATTTGTGGAGCAGGAGATCAAAACTTAGTTTAAAAGGAGCTTTGACTCTTCCTCCCTTGCTTTATGTGCTGCCTTGGCAAGCATGGTATCGGCTCAGACATCTCTGCCCATCGCCTGCTCCCCTTTGTACTTTCAGAAAGAGATACCGTGTAGAGATTAAACGAGGGTCACTAACAAGAAGCTGCATTGTGTAAGGATGCTTTAGCTTTCCTCAGCGATGTCTCCCTGTGGCAGCAACAGGCTTCTCTAACGCATGACCTCGGGAAAGAAAAAGAGAGGGCTCTCGATTTATGCACCGTTCCCAAAGGCATTCAGATTCAGTTGCCCCATGGCTATGAAAAACCTCTTGGTTTTGGAAGCTGCTATAAAACTATAAACCTGACTAAATTATGCTTCACCATTCATTGTGCATAGGCACTAGAAATCATTCAGATAACTTTGCTGATGCTCTTCCAGCCTTGTTGAGGTGTAAACGTTTGAATCTCCTTCTTCTTAGTTCACTAGGATGAGGACATTTTTCCCCATTGTGCAACAGAGCATCCTCTGTGTGACAGTCATATGGGGATGGAGACTTCCAGCTTATCTTTCTTGCTCAAGACTAGTCCTCAAATTCTTCTTAAACAAGCAGATACTGTGAATATGAGAATATACCCTATTGCTCACAGCTTTTTTTCTTCACTCTGGGGCTGGAAACGGCTGTTCCCAGTGCCCAAGATTCTGGTTCTGGAAAGCTGGTTGTACCCCAAGAAGTGGACTGTAACAGGGCATTGAGGTCTCCTCCTGTGCCCGTGAAGCCTTAGTCTCACAGCAGGATGATTTGCTGCCTATGCCTGCAAAACTCGGGAAAGACAGAGGGTGCTGGCTTCTGGGCTTGTTCAACCCGGGATTTTAGTGTGGGAGTAGGCATGCATTGCATTGCAAGCTGCCACTGGGCTGTTACCCCTCTGTCCCCAGTCAGTGCCTGCTGGCTGGGTGACCAAGTGGTGGCTGCTGGAAATGTTCCCCTGGTGACTCTTACAGCTGTCACCTCTTTACAGCCTCACTAGTGGGTCAGAACCATGAAAGCCAGGATGCAACCCGCTTGAAATAATTTCAGGGCCCTGCCTCATCCCAGTTGGAAGGTGACGCAGCCTGTGCTGCCTCTCTAGGGTGCAGCAGGTCCATGACCGTGGGGATGTCTGCAACCTCAGGGCATCATGCCGCTCACCTGGACCTGTAGCTGAGGTGGGAGCCACGATCTCTGCTGAGGTCCCAGCTGAGCAATTGCCTCCCAGTGCTGCTGGCGGTGTGGCAGCCAGCTCTTCCAACAGTGCCCCAGGGAACTGCAGCCGCTCACCCGGCATGAGGAGAAAACCCGGGCAGCACAGCAACAAAAGCCCCAAGGAACGGAGCCGGGAGGATCTCTCCCAGCGGGAAAGCTGCTGCCTGCCCTTCGGAGCCGCCTGGGGTTGCAGGCAGCGCTGCGGCCGTGGGCTTGGCAGGCTGCGGGAGGCAGCTGCCGGGGTGGGAGCTGAACAAGCGAGCATTCAGGTGACGCGGCAGCAGCTGCTTTTCCGCCTGGACCTCTCCGCAGCCCGCTCCTGCGGGAAGGGAGGCAGGTCCTGCTCTGAGTCAGACTCGCCACAGCCCACATCAGTCAGAGGCCTGGGTTTTTGGGGGGTTTTTGGTTTAGAGGGGTGGTTTTTTTTGCTTTCATGGATATCTGGGGATATTCCTGCTCGCTCTTGTTTTTCTTCTCCCTTCGTGTATGCAGTGGTCAGAAAGATGGGGTGGGATTCCAGGATTAATCACTTGTCTTTTTTCTGCCCGCGTGTCTTGCATTTCCCGGGCTGAAGCTTGGCTTTTTCTGGATAGTGCTGGCCTCTTGCAACGTTATTGATCCTGAAGCTCCTGGGCATAGCATTGCTACTCTTTGTCTCTTGGCTGTGGCGCACGTTTTGCCTGGTTCCTGCTGTCACCACTGTGGAGGGTCAAAGCAGAGCACAGAGTTTACGCGGAGACTGCAGCTTGGAGTACACGGTTTTTTTTAGTGATTAAACTTCTGCTTTTATTGCCTCAGCATCCCTGCGTGGGAAAGCCTGCAGTTCTTTGAGATAGGCTTCTCTTCCTGTGATTTTTTTCCTTTATCCTTTACGTATTTCTGTCCTTCTCCAGACGTGTGGGTTTTTTTTTTCCCTTTCTATTCTTGTTTTTCTACATGCAGCAGTTTCTTACTTCCCTTTGCACTCACCAGACCTCATCACTGCTGCTTTCCTCTTTGCAGTTTTTTTTAGTAAGTGATTAATGAGATAATGATGATACTTCTGTATTGGAATCGGGCTCTTCACGTGCTATTCCAGTTGGGTTAGTTGGGAACAGGAGAATTAAGCGTTCCTTACTTCATGCTGTCTGCAGAGTTGGAAAGACAGCCTTGCATCCGTAGGCTCAGCCTACGACTAGGTGGCTTCCTTCGGGATTGCAGAGCCTAAAAAACTTACTGGACTTTTGCTGAACAATCTGCACATCATGTGTCCTGTAAATTCCCTGACATCTGCTTGTCAAGCCGTGGTATGCATATTTTTCTAGAAAAAGTGGCTTGAAAGAACTGAGGGATTTCTGCTTTCATCTTTAATCTAGAGAGGCTTCTGCAAGTTGCTCTCACATATCTATTTAAAGGAAGGCAAAAGTGTGAAGCTGCCCACCAAGAGGATTCTAGATTTTATTTTATTTTTTACTGACTGGCTCTGGATCGAGTCACTTTAAATAAAGGTTTCTCTTCTCTAAGCAGCTGCCTTATTTGCTCCTGCCACCTCTTCTGTTCTGAAAGTAGCATCACTTCAGAGACTTTGTGGAGCAAAGGAGCCTCTTTCAAGTGCGCTGGGTTTTTTCCGTGCCTCCCCTCAGTGGTGTGGTATTGTTTGGCTGAAGTGTCCCTTCCTTTCCAGCAACCGTTAATTCCTTTTTCTGCAGAGGAGTTGGTTCTGAGGTCACCTCAATTCTCTTCCCAAGGGAAAATAGGACTATAAAAAGTCAACTTTCCTGTCCTTGTTTTGTTGTAAACCTGCTTGCACTCTGGAGGAAAAAAAAAAGTAACCATGCTTTTTGCATGTGGCCCAAATTGTGGAGTCCAGCTTGTTAGAGCTGACCCCTGAAGAAAACCCAGCCCTGCTGGTATCCTGCCACGTGTGGCAGAGCACTGCCCTTAGATCCTCGATGTCCCAGGGCTTTCTGGTCTCAGAGGAAGACTTGCTTCTGGTTGGAGTCCTTGGAAAAACACAGCCAATGGCTTTTCTTGCAAAATCCCTGCACTATTTGACAAGAGGGTTTGCACAGGGCTTCTGTAGGGATGGCTCCTTGAGTAGCCCTTCTTCTCTTGGTTTGTTTCTTAAGTAAAAACACTTCCAAGGAGATGTTCCCTATCTTATTGCCATCTTAGGGCTAAACTTGAGATTCCCTCCACACTGTCCCATGAAGACCTCATCCCTGCTCCCACCTCTCTCGCTTCCCTCTCCTCCCTGCCATTCCCATACCTGCCCTGCCACCACACCTCGCCAAATTTGGGCAAGCCCAGCCAGGCCTAGGTTGCCGGAGGAGTTGGTTCCCCTTCAGATAAAGCATTTCCAGGTAAGGAGGCGAGTTTTTTCCCTGGTGAGGTGGGGCGGTGGCAGCTGGGCTGCAGCAGCGCCAAGCTGGCACAGCATGGCATGACTTTTGCGGTGCCCCTGGTCCCTGTGCGGGGCATTTCATTGAGTGATTTTTATCAGCGCGTTATAACTGTTAGCGTAGCGTTAAATGGCAAGATGCTATTTACAATTTGAATGCGGAATGCTTAAAATATTAATGATTTGAAAATGTAATTGGTAGATCTCTTAAGCAGTCGAGTAGCTTGTGTTAAGTGCTAGCAATGTGTTTTCCTTTTAACACACCATGCAACGTGTAATGCCTTTCCTTCCTATTTAGGCTTGCCTGTATTCTCAGTGTCTCCGCACATGAAGAGCCTTTCATCCACCAATGCAAACAGCAAAAGGCAGGCTCAGCCAAGCTGTACTCCAGCCTCGAGGTTGGCTGCCAAACAGCAGAAAATTAAAGAAAGCCGGAAGACAGATGGGCTGTATACAGACGAAGAGGAGGATTTCCAACATGCATCTCTGCTGCAGAAATACAGCGAGTGTGAGAAGCCATCAGGGAAACGTCAGTGTAAAACAAAACACTTGGCACTGCAGGAGAGGAGAAGGAGGTCATCTCTGACAGGGGATGACACCACAGATATTGAAAATGCTGAAGATAAGGTATCTTTATTTAGACTTAATTGTCCACCAGCCTCTTGGAAGGCAGAGCCAGCCTGCTTAAAACTAACGTGCTGTCATGCATGCAGGGTAGTGGGGATCGCATTCAAATTTGTCTGTGGATGCTTTGCACATTTTGTATTTGCTCTTCTTAACCCAAGTTAAAGGCACTATTACAGGGGGTGAGGAATCTTTCATTTAAAAGCTTTAGCAGGTCTTTCTTAAAAAATTAAATATGAGTAGTAAAGTGTAATTCTTTGCTGGCAAAATGTAATTCTGTCGCTGCATTGTATAAAACGAGGACCAAAAAAAACCCCCACACTAATGGTTTTGACAGGTCACGGTAACGAGGAAAGTCAGGAAGCGACCGGAGCCTACTTCAGACTGCGACTCCTCGCCAGCCAAGTACGAGCAGAAGCTGTACGATCGTCTGCAGCAGACTCCCTCATTACTGCCCGTCTCGCAGCCCTCGCAGCTGCCGGTCGCGAGCCCCCCTCAGGAGACCACCCCGAGCCGACCCATGCCGCCCGAAGCGCGGAGGCTCATTGTCAATAAGAACGCCGGGGAGACGCTGCTGCACCGGGCGGCACGCCTGGGGTATGAGGTAAGGGTCTCTCGCTGCCCTGCCTGAGGTTAAAACCCTCTTTCCAGTTTTAGGGGTGGAAATTTTGCAAAGCGGCAGCTTTGAGTTTGGTTGTTGAAATTTGCAGTCCCCTCCCTACCCTCCTCTGCTGCATTCCGTTCCCTGGCATGCTGGGTTGCTGTGGAAGTGGGTCCCCACAGCTGGAGGGGATGCAGCGTCCTGCGTGAACGAGCAAAGAGCAGAGTTTTATTGGTAACGCTCACTTCCGTTTAAATGTAAGCCATCTGCAAACTGAATGAATGTTTTGGTTTTGGGATTTTTTTTAAAGTGATCTTTATGGTGATCTTTATGCGCTGTACAATTTCTGCTTTTGTTATTTGTGAAGAGCGTGTAGTTTAGGAGTATCTGGTATGTGACACAGGATGTAGTGCTTGGAGTGTCTTCTTGCATGATCAGATGCATCGTAGGAGCACTCTGCATGCTTTGTGCTTGGAGTCGAGCTGCTCAGCGTAGCTGGAACAATGTTGTCTAATGAAACGGCCCTCCTGTTGCTAGAAAAATCAAAAACCGATGAATCCCCTAGCTCTGCTGTTTTGAAGCACGCTTTTATTGGGGAAATGTGGGCATGTAGGTATGAGTGCCGCTCTTGCTCAACTTCAGATCTTGCAGAGCAATGTTCCATTGCGGAGAGCAATGGCTGCCTTGGCCGCGGCTGCAGGGTTTGCCTTGGCGGTGAGAGGACTGCTTGGATCTCAGAGCTGGGTGTGAGCCCTGTGCTGGAAGGTGGCGTCAGTGTGGGCTCAGGTAGGGCCTGTCCAGCCTCAGAGGTTTGTTAAAACCTTGAAATGCCCTTGGTACAGCTGGAGAGCTTCATGTGGAATGAGGCCTTCTCCAGCCCTGGAAGGCAGGGTTTGTTGGAAAGGTTTTGTTTACTCTAGACAAAGGCTTCTCCTAACCCAGGGCACTTCAGCTCTAGCTAGGAGGAGAAGCAGTGGTTGTTACAACATTGCTGTGGTAATCTCCATTATTTAAATGATTTTATTTCCTACAGACCTAAAATTTCCTGTGGATCCAAAATCAAAATGTGTTGTAGCATGTGCTCCAAGCTATTGGAGTGTGTTTTCTCCCTGCGCAGTGTCTGTCGGGGCAGGATGCTTCTGCACTTTGCTTTCTGTGCCCGGCACGCTCCACTGAGCACAGCTTAATGGGAGCAGCTCTGAACCTTAGTGGTGGGCTGAGGTCTTGCTCAGGCAGGGGACGAGGGCTCTCTGTGTGCTTTGCTGATGGCAGGAGGTCTGCAGCATTGGCTGCTAGTGGGCTGGTTGCTGAAAGCCAAGGATGCCCAGGTTTGCCAGGGGTAGGGGTCCTGGGGCCCTGGGGTAACCTTTTGTGCCCACCATGCCTTCCCATCATCAGCTGATTGGGGATTTTGATTTTCTGACTTGAATTCACCCAGAAGTTCAAGTGAACACCAGTTTTTAATAGGCTTAAATATTCTGATTGCTTGACTTGATGGTTTGGCTGGCATTGACATGCAGCAGTGGGTAGTCTTGTTGGCGGAGCGTGGGGCAGGAGAACCAAGCAGGGTCAGGGATGGAGCTTGGTCTGTGTGCGTCAGCTGCTGCCAGGATCTGGCATCGGACAAGCCTGTTAAGGCTTGGAGCAGTGGGTGGCCATGCTGCCCTGTTGGGGCTTCATTTGGCCTGTGGTGAGCTGTGACAGTTTGGTCAACTGTGGAAGCTCTGAAGCTCTGGTGTTTTTCTTGCTGGTGACCAGACTACTGCAAGTTAGTAGAAAGCTGAATTTCCAGAAAAACAAAAAGTGTTCAAGAAGCTACAGATTCCTCTACTTGGAAAAAAAAATATCTTGATGGATCAAAGTAATTTGCTGGTCTGTGACCTGTGGCAGCTGCACACATCTGTTTTCTGCCATCTCCGTTAGCAGGGCGGCAACCTTTGGTGGCTGCAGCATGATGACCGGGGGCTGATGCTGGAGTGGGAGCGCTGGATGCTCAGAGGTACATGCGGGCTTCTCGTGACTGCTGCTGTGGCAGCCGCGTGGCCCCATGCCAGTGCGATGGTAGAGGAGGCGAATGAGCCTGCGCCACTGGGGCCACGGCTTGCAAAAGGATGCTGAGTGCTGGTGCAGGACTGGGAGCTGGAAGCATCTGGCACCGCAGGGCACCGCTGAGCCCTGCCGGCGGCAGGAATGTTGTGTGGAGCAGAGCAGCACTGACAGCTCTGCCTTGAGACCAGGCGAGCTCATGCCTGCCCTTGGCAGCCTGCCTGCCTTTGCAGCAGGGATGCCCTGTGGCCATACAGAGATCCCACCCCAAAGCCACAGGCAGCGCTGGCACCCTTGGTGTGCAGAGAGCTGTATATATCGCTCCTGGACACACAGGCAGCCCAAATGCTGCTAGCTCAGGTACCTCAACCCCACTCTCAATTGCATAGTATGGATGAGCCCTAAGAAATTTAGGGAAGGAGGACACAAGTGGTTACGATTTTGGGTGTAAAAGCTGGCATGAGAGTGAAAAGTCAAAGGACAAATGCGGCTTGTGTCTGGTCAGATAAATTGCAGGGCCACAGCCAGCAGGGCTACGTAAAAGACAGCGCAGCAAATGGCCTTCGGCTCTGGAAATCCATACAGTCTGAACAAAACCCTGTTGGAGCTGGGTTTGCCTAGTTTTGCCTTTTCTTTGCTAGGCTTCTGGACAGGGGCTTGCTTCATCAGGGTGTTAGCAACCCATCCCAGGGTATGGGCACTCTCGAATCCATTCTGTTTTCCTCATTTGAAACAAATGACTTGAGATAATAGTAGTCTTAAAACTGTAATTTACTTTTTGTGAAGAGGGAATTATAGGGAGCATAAAGTCTTTTTGGGAAAAAAAAATTACAAAAGGCTTGCGTAATGAATTTGATGGGAGAGGAAACACTGGCTGTCTTTGTGCTGCTTGTTGCTTTTTTGGTGTGCGCCTGGACTTGGAAAAAAGTTCTCTGGTGAATTTGGGATTAAATCCTGCCTGTGAAAGCAGTGAAATTAGAGGAATGTGTGAGAGGGGTGGAGGAGAAATGGTTTGTTTCTGGGGGGGTTTAAACACTCATGAAGATAGGGCTTATCCACGCTAGGGTTTATCCACGCAGGGGGAAGGGGTTTGCCCTGGCGAAGCCTCACACGAGGGTCTGGCCCTGGGTCCCTGGTGGCACTGCTTCAAGAGCTCCTGAGCATTATCCTGCTCTTGCACAGCTCTCTTGGGGCTCCCACACCCTGCCAGGGGACGAGCATCACTTTTAGAGTTTGACTTGGTGCTGCAGGGAATAGTTATGGCTCAGCTTACAATGCCTTGCCTGAGGGCCGTGTTTCGAGGTTGGGTGGATTGGAGTAGTGCTTCTTGGTGGTAGCGTGGGTGCTTGGGGCATGGGGGATGCACAGGGGGACACTGACCCCCCTCCGCCTGGAGAAGGGGCAGGAGCTGCTGCAGAGCACAGGTGGGAGAGACTAAAGTGAAGGGCATCTCTTTGTAGATGTGGATGGAGCGTGGGTATCTGCATGCACCTTTTAACGCTGCTGTTTGCAGTTTGCTAACAAACTGCAGGCAGCAGAAGCAGCAGTGGCACGCATCTTGGCTGGTGACGCGCAAGCTTGACTCTTTGGATTAACTGGGAGTGATTTTCAGATTGCTGGTTTAAATAGAGCACCTGAACAGACATTAAATTGCCCCGTGGCACTTTCACAGCCTCTCTCTAACGTTAGCGGGAAATGCTTATGAAACCAAAAGTGTGTTTGTGGCACCACATGTTCCTGTATTCGGCAATGATGGGTAATTTTTTTGTAAATTGAATAAATCATGTTAAAAAAAGTTAATGGGGCATTTAATTAATTAACAATGTAGAGTTTTATGGTCTTTATGGTTACATTTTGTGGTTAATGACATTCTTCTTATAGCCTCTTAACACAAAATTGCCCGACAAAATTAGCCTTTTCGTCCAGTAGTATGTATTCTGCCCCTAGGATGAGCCTTTCCTTTCTACAAAAATAGATGAAAGGTGTTCCTTTATTTTGGGTTGCAGAATCTATTTTAAATGGTAACTGCATGCTAAAAGCGGAGCCGAATACGGCAGCTGCTTCTGCTACCTTTATCCATCTGCTAATTTGCCTGGCAGGGTGGTCTGGTTATATATACCTCCGGGGTATAATTTTGAATAGCTCTTTCTTACGGGCTTGAGCGAGTGCAGCGTAAAGAGCATCCGTTCTGGACTGATTTTTGATCTTTGAACCTGACTAGCAGAGTCCCTGTTTGGTGAGAGGCGGGACTGTGGGGATCCCAGGCCAAACCAGTGGGTGCATCAGGGGTATGTGGTGCATCGGAGGTAGGTGGTGGACTGCTCTGTCCGGCAGCAGGTGAGGAGGATGCTCTGGTGCCTGGGCCGGGCAGCTCATTAGCTCCCCGCTTCAGCCTGGTTAGCAAGGGCCTGCTAAAAGAGCAGCTTCATGCTGTATCCTGGATACCAGCTCTTGGGTCAGGTATATCCAGAGCACAGATTATTGAGGGCTTTCTGGTAGATTTTTGAAACGGGAAGAATAAATGCATTGCACCCGGCGCTTGTTTTATTCTCTTGGTTTGGCAAAGCAAACACTCGCCCCCTCCATACCGTATCCTGCTTTGCGAGGATGTCGCTCAGCCTTTGAGAGCAGCAAATGCAAAATTAATGGCTTGCCACTAATCTGGGAATGCAGGGCCTATTTTATACATGCAGCATCGCTTAGAAATGCGGTTTGTTTTTTCCTTTCTTTTGCGTCTGAGACAAATCGAGGAAGACTCGCACCATCCTAAATTTTTGGTTGGGTGATGGAGCAGTCATTGTTTCAAGGCCACATGGCAGCGTAGAGCTGAGTCTGGCCTAGGCTCTCGACCGTGGTATATTTGACTGCAAGATGAATTGCGTTAAATTCACATGGCTTCCCACAGCGCCGGGCTCGTTATTGGAACCTGGTGCCTGGCTTTAGTTCTGCATGCAGAAGACCAGCGTGGGTGAAAATGGGATTTCCCTGATCTTGATAGAGTCGGGTTTTTTCTTTTTTTGTGTGTGCTGATAGCAAACCATCCTTTGTGTGTCTTAAATGTGTTTTGTTTTGGGTCATGCGCCTTTTCTTTTTAAAATCAAACTGATGGCTGTGCTGCTGTTGTGCTTGCAGAATTTTCTGCTAAAAAATGCAGATGTAAGAGTAAAAACCTTCCCACTAGCTTTACGCATGGAAGTTTTGAGAAGTGAAAAGCTGTGAGTTTTGTCTGCAGAATTTGAACCTTCCCCCTCTGCGATGATTCCTGACATGGGGCCCTGCGGGAAGGTCCCTGTGGGGTGCAGAGAGCTTGGGGCTGCTTTGTACAAGCTGGTCTGCTCCTGGGAAGCAGTGGTCTCTGCTGTGTTCTCCAAAGGAGCAAGACTTTCGACAGCTTCCCCTTTTTCATTTCTCTTTGACTGACCTGTCTCAAATAGGGTAACTTAGGCATATCGTAGGGAGTTTGTTTTTTGCCCTCCCCCCCCCTTTCCCTTCACGCACAGAAATCTCTACATCTCCGCAGCAAGAAATAACGCAGTATCTGCTTTTCCTCCTCTTTCCAGGAAGTGGTTCTGTATTGTTTGGAAAACAAGGTGTGTGATGTGAATCATCGTGACAACGCGGGTTACTGTGCCCTGCACGAGGCCTGTGCCAAAGGCTGGCTGAGCATCGTGCGGCATCTCCTGGAGTACGGGGCTGACGTCAACTGCAGCGCTCAGGATGGAACCAGGTTAGCAGCACCCCCCGCCCAGGCGCAATCGGGTGGTCACCACCACCGGGCAGTGGTTTCTTTGGACATGATGGTGGGAGAAAGCACCCCTTCCCTCTCTGTATGCCTCTCCCAATCCTGCATGAAACCCCCAAAGCAGGTAACACTGCCAAGGTCCTCCTCCATGGTGTCTTCCTCATGTGGTAACCTCCTCCGCTCTCCAGTTAATGAAGCCATGGGGCACACTTCTGTTGTGACTCGAGTTCATTGTATTTTTTTTTTCTTTTCTGGGAATTTTAATAAGTTGTGGTATATAGTTTTTTTAACAAGCTTGTGAATTGCCAGCTGCAGGGCAGGAAGGAGCAATACTTGAGCTGTGGCCCTGCTCATGTGTGCTCCAGGTCCTTTGAGTTGTGCCAGAAGAGTGGGCTCTGCCTCGTTAGCTGGGTTACTTTTAAGAGCACTTTAGGCTTTTGCAGCAGTTGGGTGTGCAAGTACTATATACAATATTTAATACAAAATATGCTATATTTTTATCTAGAAAAATACTGTTTTGCTGAACTGTTAAACACTGCTCATTTGATATTTTGAATTTTTTTATTTACAGACTAGTAGGGGTGCTTAGTTCCTGTGTTTGCAGAATATTTTTTTTTCCTTTGTGGATATAGAAATACATCTGCATCTTTTTTAAGCTTCTTGTGTATCTCGTAAAGTACCTCTTGGACCACCTCTGCGGGGCTGACCTTGGGGTAACTTTTCCTTCAGCATATGCAGAACATTATCCAGTCTATGCGTTTTGGGGACAGGTCGCTTTGTATTCTGTGAAGCTCCTGCAGCTCTTTATCTTAAACGGTTTATCACATTCACTATCACCATCCAAATAGCCAAGGAGGTAAAATTAGCATAACTAAGAGTCTGCCTCTTTTGTTTTTAAGCTCTGTATTTATTAACTTGGGAAGGGAGGAGCCAGGAAAACAAAAGTCCCAAGAGGGCTGGTTGGGATGGTCCATTAGAAGTTCCTGATGGTCAGTTACCGGCCCATCACGGAAACATTTCTGGAAAAACACTGAATCTCTGGCTGGATTGTCAGATCCCTCCTCCATCTCCCTCTCCTTTGTAAGAAGTCTCAGCTCTCCAGGCTGACAAGCAGCACCTCATTTTCTGCCATCCCCAGCTTTAATAGCTGACCTGTGCAACAGAGGCAAGTTGCCATGAAAAGAATCCTAAATTGTTTTTGTCTCACTTGCTGGAATAACCGACATAGAAAATTAACCCCAGGATGTTTCTGACCAGTCTTAATCACCCGCCAGTTCAGTGTCCACCTTTGGTTTCGATTCACAGATGGAGCTGATTTTCAAGAAAGAAACTTGGCTTGTGTACACTGAAAAGTTGTTATGTGGAAAATGCATTTTAGAAATGAACATAATAATGATCTGATCATAGACGGTAATGTCAGAACTCAGCTTGCACAGCCCCCTTTCTTTTCTGATGGCAGACTTATTTTTTGTTTGAAAAGCTGCCCAGCAGACAGTGTGAATCCAAAACACATCTAATAAACAGATGAAAGGTGGTCTGGCTTCCCTGAGTTGGGTAGGACATAGAGCAGAAGCTTCTGTAAGGAACTTGTGGTCGGTGTTATCCCCTGCCTTTTGGTAGGGCCAGACTTCTCTGTCTCTGTAGAGTAAATCATGACATTCATAAGACAAATCCCATTTCTCTGTCGAAGCCTCAATTAGTTTTTCTCCTTGAACTTTTAGGAGGAAAGAAGTGTCAGTCTTCCTCAACTGTGTTGCTATTAAAATTCAAATTCCTGAACATACTCATCCCTTGGAAAGATATTAAAATCTTAAAACAAAAGAACCCCAAACAAACACACCATCAAAGACTTCTCCCCCTGCACTGCTTTTGTAACTACACTGAATATGCCTTATTGCCCCCTCCACCACCTCACAAGCCCACTAGCCAAAGGTATTTTTGGACATGCTGGAAGCACTCACGTCCCCAGACAGTAGCAGTGAATGTTTAGTTCTGTTCAGCCAGTTGACTTAAATCCATGTAGAGAAGTCACGTAACTGCATCAGCCGTGATGTAACTGCATCAGCCGTGATGTAACTGCATCAGCCGTGATGTAACTGCATCAGCCGTGATGTAACTGCATCAGCCGTGATGTAACTGCATCAGCCGTGATGTAACTGCATCAGCCGTGATGTAACTGCAGACACTGCATTTGTTTCTGTGGCAGCCTGTGCTGTCACTTGGGTCTCAGCTGCCTGAAACTTTGATCTGTGTTATTTGCTGCCTGCTGCCTCTGTGGTCAACTTTTTGTAGGGCGCGCTCTGAAAAGCTGTGACAAGTGAGGATGTGGCTTCAACCTGAACAAAAAAAGTCCATATCATGGTGAAGGATGTAGGAAAGCTCGTGCATCTCTCCTTTCCGTCCTGTCTGAGGCACTGCAAGTGCTCTGGTCAATGTGGTGGTTTTGCATGCCTGTGTTTAAGTTTTGAAAGAGAAGCAAAGACCTGAGCCTCTTTCTTTTTGGCACTGCCTTTTATGTAGCTATGTGTAGCTATGAGTTCAGTAGATAAGGTCTGCTTTCAGCCTCTGGTTCCCCATACTATCAGAAATCTCGGTGAAGCCGAAGAACAAACTAGAGCAAGGAGGTGGCAGGGTTTAGGGGAGTGTAGGTATGATGCAGTCCTTCCTGTCACCCTCAGCTCAGCCCTGGGGCACTGCCTGCACACCTATGGCTGCCTGCAGCACACCCTGTCCCTCTCTCTGCCCCATTCACAGGGCGTTTGGCTGGGCTAAATTCGATGTTTTTCTCTTTAAATTCTGTGCTGATCGCGGCTTTCCAAATGCAGCGCCTGCAGACGTGAATACACAAGCACTCTGCTGCTGAATTAGTGGCTAATCAAAGATTATTGTAGAACGGAGAGATCTTTTAAGACCTTTTCTCAGAGGTGCCACAGTCACTAAGGGCTCTTAATCGTCTTACCTATAAATAATAATAGACCATGCTTAAGAGGTGAGAGCTTTCCTTCCCTGACAGGACCCCAGTACAAGCAGTAGCTCAACAAGGGATGTTTGATGAACAGTGCCTGACATTAGCAAGGATGGTTGCCGGTGTATTTGGCCTTATCTCCTTGTTTTCTTCTCTTTACCTCCACGTCATGCCCTAGCTGAAACGGTGCTGCTGTAAAAACGAAGCCACATGCCAAACATACAGGCATCTCCTGCCTGTTTGTGAGGCCTCTCCATTGCTTCAGAGTTTGCTCGGTAGATTCGTTTTCCGCAGCCAGTTGTGCTTTATCCTTCTTGCTGGTGGCTGATGAGCTCAGCCTTTTTTATTTTTTCCCTGGGAGGACCCTGCCAAGATGGCTCTCTTCCTGCATCCTTTCAGCTGGTCTTGGCAGAGCGATACCCTCCAGCAGCTAATTTCGTTAAAGGAGTGGCAGCCGGCGTAGCTGCCCTCCTGCAACTTGTGCCTTGCCTCTTCCGTGGGGCAGCGTTGCATAATATAGGAGATGGAAATAAAAATAAAACGCCAAGATACGGTATTGCTCAGCGGGTTGTGAGACATCTTATTGCAGCAAGGAAAATTCTGGTGGTGCCTGAAAGGCTGAGAGCAAACCCTGACTGGTCTAAATAGTTTATAATTTTGGTGATGGAATGAAAAACCCCCAGTGAAATGTTTTCCTAACTCTAGTAGCGGTAAAAATAATAGGAAGTATTTGACAGTACACAAGAGGGGGTTGAGATGTGTGTCTCCTGTAGGATACTGCAGCTCTTGAATGTCCCCAGATCCTTCTGGGGCCTTTCAAAGGGTTTGTTTTAGAAGTGAGCTGTACTACAGTTAACTGTGCCATTAGGGATAGAGAGTGTTTATTTCCACGATGCTCAGGACGGAAAAGATGATATGGGCAAAGCAGCCCAGGAGAGGACTCCCAGGGATCTTTTTTCCACATCTGAAAAAGTTGCCGACTGCAGTAGTCACTTTTGCATCCTACAAAGAGGATGGTTAAACTTTGCCAAGACTGGAAAATACTCCCTTCTCTGCCTATCCTGGTGGGAGAAGCAAATATGAGTCGTTATCTGCCTTTGCATGGTCTTGCTCGTGAGCTTGCCAAGAAGCTGTGCTAGCCAGTAAAAGAGTCTGTCAGTGCTGTTATTGCCTTTCCCCCCTGCCTTATCTATGGGAATCTCCTTTTTTTCCCCCTCCCCACCAGTGTTTTCTTTCCTCCCTTTGCTTCCTTCTATTTATTGTTCTTTCTCCTTCCGTGTGGCTTTACTGCGCCTTTCCTTCCCCTTGCCTCCGTGCAGTCCCCTCTCATGCTCCAGGAGATGAAAAAGACAGGTCTGCCTGCCCCGCTGCCTGCTTCTCTGTGCAAGGCTCGGTGATCCATAGTGCAGGGAGAGGGCATCCAGTCCTGGGGTTACCGCCCATGCACTGTGATTTTTCCTTCCTGGGCAATGCAGAGGCATCGTTTAATAAATGTCTGGATGTTGTCAAATCAATTGAAACACTGGGTGGTGATTTAGATTATTTTTTTTTTTATTTAATAAGTTAAGGAATTGTCTTGGATTTGTTACTGCTTCAAAAGCCACTTAGGTACATCAGTTAAAACAAACAAACAAGAAAACCCACAAGCCAATAAACGCACAACACCCTCCACCCCCATCCTTAAAAACCAGAAAACCCTAATTCTAAAATAAAATGGAGAACAGTTCAAAACTAAGGACTCCAGTAAAATGAGGGAGCGGGGAAGAAAAAGCATCCCCAGCATTTGGCGGCAGCTGTAACTCTCATCTGTCCCTGGTGCCTGTTGCCAAACTTTCAGCGAGGGATGCTCTGTGCTCAGCGAGGGACAGAAGGGTTTGCAGCAAGGCTGACCTTTCCTGTGATAGATGCTCAGAGCGTCATGACCCGACAGGTCCAGCCTCAGATGCTTGGTGACAGCCAGAAACACCCGATACTTCTTCAGTCCCTGTGTCAGCACCCCTGTTATTTGTGACCTCTTGTACTGTATACCGTGTGGTGGTCAGCACTGGCCAGATCGTGGATGCGCTGGGTGCTGCGTGGGCACGCGATGCTGCGGCAGTCCCTGTGCGGAAGCACTGAGTCAGTAGGTGGGGGTGGGAGGCTGAGGCTTGCTGGGGACCCCGGGAATGCTGGCTTCTCCGGCACCATCTGTCTCCAGGGTGTCAGGTAGTTTCAGTGCAATGTTAGAGACTTCCCTGAGAAATTGAGAAGTGCTATCCTGACTATCCTCATGGACCTCTCTGCTCTTCAGATTTGGAAGTGGCTTTCTGTAGAGCAGCACGTCAGGCTTTGAAGGTGTGCACATGTTGTGCTGTCTGGTGCTGGGGGTCTGAAGGGTGGGATGAGCTGGATGGAGGACTGCGCTCAGCATCTGGAGAATCGCCTGCCTCTTGGCTGTGTTGGTGGCCTGGGGTGTGCAGGAAGCAGGCAGTGTGGGAAAAGCCCTCTCTCCATAGGGAACAAGCCACGAAGGGATAGCCATAGGGAAGTGCAGCCCCTCATGTCAGTATAGCATATGTGTGCCAAAATCAAAACTGCATACAGCTTTCAAGCACAAACGAGAGTGCTTCACTCTAAGTGATGTTAATCTTAGGGTGATTAATATCACCCTAGGTCACAGCCTACTGGAAGGTACTGGGAGTCAACATACCTGGAAGATACTTTTTGAGATGGATCAGTGCCCTCCCACCAGCAGCGCTACGCTGTGTGATAGGTGGGAAAACGGTGGTGTGCCGCCTTCTTCTGACTGTTCTGATCAGCCTCTGCTCTGTCCTGAGCTTACATGGATGCTAGTCTGTACTAAAGCAGTGGTGACGTAGAGGGGACGTTGCAGTGTGTGGCATAAGGAGTGGTAGGAGCTGGCCTCTTTGCAGAAGGGTTTTTCCTTCTGTGGAGACATTCAAAACTCGCCTGGACATGTTCCTGTGTGACCTTCTCTGGGTGATCATGCTCTAGCAAGGGGGCTGGACTGGATGATCTTCAGAGGTCCCTTCTGATGCCTGCCATCCTGTGATACTTTGTGATTCAGCCCTGGTTGTTAGCAGAGTGTTGCTTGGCAGATTGGTAGATGGAGCTGAGGGGTTTGCTTGTCTGTGCTTCCAGATGACTTCTCCTTGTAGTGTCATCCTGAAAGCTTTCCAGGAAGGCAATACGTGATCCTAGTTCAAAGTCCTTCCTTACTTCTCTTGCCTTTTAATACATCTGTTTGAGAGCATGAAAGCCTTGTTGGGGGATGGCGGTGTTGACAGCCTAGAAGAGGAGGAGTGTGGAGTTGAGCTGAACTGCCATGATCACTGGCCGTTGCATTTGATTCCCCTTTCAGTTCCCTGCTCATTGCCCTCTAAGGAAAAGATGGGATTTTAACACATCTTCATTTAGTCTGAAGGGTAATATGTTCTACTTCCAGACAACTCCCCATTACGTATAATCAATTTTAAAGGCAAAAGTTAATGCGATTTATAATTAGTGATAAGGAGCTCTAAACCTGGAATTACAGGCATGTGTATTAATGAATAATCCTTCTATAGGCTCACAAAATCTGTGTCTGAGCTTGTATAGATTGCTCATGCTGCATAAAATGTGTTAACTTCTGGGTGGACTACACTTAAAATAACGTGTTTTTCTATTCTCTGAGTAGAAGGGTTGAATTGTGCTGCAAATATATTCTCAGGCGCTATTTAAAGAGGATATAGCGTGGAAGTTTAATTCCTAGCAAATTTTCGTAACTTATTTCTGTGTACATAATTTAGGAGCTTTGGGTAACTGATTTCCGTGCTTGCCCAGAGGTAGGCTGAAGGAGCCCTTACTCTGCTGCGTGCTGTTAAATTGGCAGAGATTTGGAATGGTAGAGTGACTTGCAGCAAAATTGTGTTTGTGAGGCTTCACGCAAACTCCTGCTTTGCGTTACAGTGGTGTAGTTATTTTACTGGCCCTTGAAATACGTACGGCAATAAATAGACGTAACAGAAATACCTGCCCCAAGCAGTCTGACTGGGAAAAGACAAGAGGGGGAGGGCATGATGTGCAAGTGAAACTGACAAGGAGATGATTGGCAGCTGTATTAATAGCGCTATTTTCTATAAATAACACTGATCTGAAGTCAGAAGTTTCTTGTCAGACACATTTGCATAATAGTATTGAGTCAAAATGTAACGCTGCGATCTTTTTTATTTTCCCCCTAGACCAATCCATGATGCGGTCGAAACCGATCACTTGGAAATTGTCCGCCTGTTACTGTCTTACGGTGCTGATCCAACGCTTGCGACCTACTCTGGGAGGACCATTGTGGCAATGACGCACAGTGAGCTCATGGAGACCTTCCTCACAGGTGTGTGGCCGTGTTGCTCGGGGCTCTGCAGGCTGTGGTGATTGTGGGGGGGACATTTCCTGGCCCTAAAAAGTCCTTGCCGCCCAGTGGGGGTGCCTCCACGCTGAGGACCATTAGGGTAGCCTGTGGTAGCTTCTTCTCTGCCCACAAAAACCCAGCGGCTGCAGGTGGGAAGCGTAGCCATGCATGGGGGCTCCTTCTAATTGAAATTCTTAATAAAAGTCATAAGGATTATGTCACTATCAGATTTGATAGGTAGGAGGTCAGCAGGCTGTTTCGGTGCCTTCAGTTTTCTGCTTGAAATGAAAATACGAAACTTGTCAAATTGAATAGCTCTTGGTAAAACATAATCATGTTTTCCCATTTTTATTCTTCTAGTACTTGTTTTTTTGCAAGTTCTGCCTCATTTTATACCTGAAATGCTGTAAACCTGTATTAAAGGCTCTTGTCTTTATATATGTCCATGTTCTAACATGGTTTTAGGTTTTTTTTCCCATTAGTTTTTAGATAAAGACACTTGCATTCCCCAATAACTTACCTCTTAAAATGTTTGCAGTGATCCCAAACAATGAGTTTAAGTACTTATCCACTTACCCGTTCAAATGGCGCAGAGTAGAAAGTACACAGGTGTATCAGGACTCCAGTAAAGTCCAGTATCTGGAACTTCTTGAATCCTAGTATGTTTTAATGAACTCAACTAGCAAATCTCCCAAATTACATTTGTAGAAAAGAATTACATCTTCTGAACACATCTGTGTGGAGAAACCTTTTCTGTCAGTTACTTTGGGGCCACTGTTTCACCCCTAAGTGGATGTCAAGGATAACGGTGCGGGCTAAAAGTGTGGTACATCCTGTCTTGCACAAAAACAAGATGCTGCTCTCAGTTACTGAAACTTAAGGTTGGGTTCGTCCCTGTTAGACTGTGGGTGATCATTTGATGTGGTGGGAGAAGGGATGCGGGAGAAAAGCAAGTTCTAGGAATATTTGGAAGAATGGTGTGTGTATATACTGTTCTTTGTAGCACGTGCATCAGGATCATGGTGTGAGTTTTATTTGATGGAAGGTGTGGGGTGTGCATAGTGAGATTCTGTATGACACAGGATCTGCTAAACTTGCCAGCTTTTTGTTCTCATCAGTATGTTTTTGTTGTTGTTTTTTCCTCTCCAGAGTATTTAGCTGACCTGCAAGGTCGAAGTGTTGATGACCCTGGTTTGTACTGGGATTTCTATGGCAGCTCTGTGTGCGGTGAGCAAATGTTACCCTTTATTTCTTCGTATGTGGAGACTTTCAAAACATGCAGCATGTGGGGGTGGGGGCTGTTTTTGTGGTGGAGGAAGCTAGGAAGGAAGCAAACTGATTTTATTTACAGATCACGTTATTGGAAGAAAAAGCAGGACCTGCAGCAGTCTCTTCAATGCTGACTTGGCACCTTTGTTCAATTTTATTTAGATCCAAAAGATGAATCTGGATTTGATATCTTGGCAAATCCTCCTGGCCCAGGTGATGAAGATGAAGATGGCTTTAGCGATGTGTTTGAATTTGAATTTTCGGATGAGCCTCCCTTGCCGTGTTACAACATTCAAGTGTGTCTCTCTCAGGGGTAAGAACAAACACAGGGTTTGGGGTAAAAATAGCTGAGACGATCTGCTTGGGATGGCAGCACTTTGTGTCTGTGGGGAAATGCGTCTGCATTTATCTAATGTAAATGAGAGAGCAATGGCATAACTACTGGGCTTGTTAGAAATAAGCTAATAGGAGGTGAGAAGGGGAAAGGCTGACTTGTCAGGGCTGTGTTTTGAGTGCCATACTCTCGAGCTGAACAAATGTTTGTACGCAGATGACTCCCAGGCAGGCACCTTGATAGAACATGCCAAACTACAAGCGCTTCTGGCACTTAAATTTGAATATCACATTTGTAAGGTGTTCTTAATTTTATTTAACTGGCTTTTCTGTTTTTCTGAGAGGACACACTTTTGTGGATGATGAAATGATAGTGTTTCTGCTGTTCTAGACTCAGCAGCAAAACTGGTTTAAATTAAGAAAATGTATTCCTAAATCTGAGAAAAAACCCTCTGTTGACTTGTATTGAATGTGGGCATCTCTGGAAGTCAGAGGTGCTGAAATTCCTGATTATAACCCCAGGCCATCTCCTAACTTGCTAAGCCTGCACCGGTGTGAGCAGCCCTCGGGATGGCTGCTGACCCACGCGTGCACCCAGGAGCCCTGGCCTTATCTTGCTCCTTCCCCAAAGCTGAGGCACTGCAAGTAAATATGTACGTGCCTGCACATCTGTTACATTCGGCCCCCAGGGCAATGGCCTTGATTTCAGGGATGTTGTTTGTGCGGGAGGGTTTCTTGTGCAGTGATACGGTGAAGAGTCAAGTGGCTTGCAACTTGGTGTCAGTTATTGGAGCCTGTTTCTCCTTCGCTTCCACAGACCACGAAACTGGCTTTTGCTCTCGGATGTGGTGAAGAGGCTAAAAATGTCATCTCGCATCTTCCGCTGCAACTTCCCCAATCTGGAAGTTGTCACCATCACGGAGGCTGAGTTTTACAAACAGACTTCCCTCAGCCAGTTGTTCTGCGCGACAGACCTTGAAGCGTTTAACCCGGAGAGCAAAGAGCTGTTGGACTTGGTAGAGTTCACAAGTGAACTCAAGACGTTGCTCGGCTCCTCGCTTCACTGGTTGCATCCGCACGAGGACCCTCCCTTCGACATCCTCTGGTGAAACCATCAGGCCGTTTAATGTACAGTGCTCTATACAGTTACTTCTTTATGTATATGTGTTCAAATGCAATTGTTTCTGTAAAGAAAGGACACTATTAAATATGAAAATATCTTTCCTTTATATAAGAGATCTGAATTCCAGTTGGATGGATTTTGGAAGAATTTTTTTTTTAACTTCAGTCAGTTTTTACAAAATTGTTATATAATGTTTCTTTAAATGCACACAGGCTTTGGGATAAGTTTGTTATTACTCGGAACACATTTTTTTTTAAAGAACACACCCACACATTGACTTTGTTTCATACAAAGCACTGATTACACAGAACATACTTTTTCTAGGTGATGTGATCAAAGTCGTGTGGCTTGTTTGGGAGATAGAATTTGGTAAGGCACTTGGTGATATTATTTTTGGTTTTTTGTTTACAGAATTACCTGCTTTGGCCAGGTAAGCACTATTGAATATAATTCAATAGTTTGTAATATAAATTAAACCATATCCATACGCATCAACTAATTGTAAGAACTTTTATATCCTAATTTAAAAGCTGTGAAATTTAGTTTTCACACATCAAACCGGATTGTTTATATATGTTTAAACATTTTATGCTCTTTATTTAAAGAAGACTTTGAACTATTTTTTCTGTACCTTGTAAAATACTGAAAAACTAACATATGTTGAAGTTGCTTGAAACTGTACATAAACTAAATTTTCTGAATTGTGTGTTTATGTTTGAGATCTGTGTTTTAACTTTGTAAGTAAATCTTCTGCCTTTGTATTTATATTTTACAAAAATTTTCTTAAAGGCAATAAAACTGTTGAGAAATGAAGAGGCTAAAGTGACTCCATTAATTCCGTGCCGGGTTGTGAAATGAGCTCCGGCTCATTAATGTTTATGAAAGGAGGCTCCGCATGCGGTTCCTGAAGCGGAGCAGAGCTGCCACAGGTGCTGGTGAGCAGCTGATAAAATCTGAGGTAGAATCTGCCTTGGTTTCCAAATTCCAGGCTACAAGAAAACATCAGACGGGCGCGCCTTTTGCAGGACCAAGGTTTAAAAGCGGTATTCACAATACTTTCTGCATTGCCTTTTGGTTAAAGAATTGTGAATAGGTTCCATTATTTTCCCCCCTTTGTCATCGTTTTAAGTTGAATTGACTGAATTCTCTTCTCAGTTGTGTCTGCAGAGGAGAGGAAAATAGTACCACGGTAAGTGCTTTAGTTTTAATGTGGAGCATTAAGGCTGTGAGCTCCCTTTGGGGGGATCTGAAGGGACAGTTAACAGAATGTCACTTTTACATTGCTTGGGAACTTGCGTCTTGAGAGGCTGAGCTCCCAGGGCTTGGGCAGGACCACTCTTAAGGATCTGGGTCTGCCTTTCCTCTGTGGAAAGAAGTTCCTGCTGTGAACCCAAGGTCTGAGTTTTGCTTTGGGGCGGTTTTTAACAGTAGCATGGCCTGTGGTAGCCAAAAGCTTCAGCTGAGATGTTTAAATCGTGCTGCTTTTCTGATGAGGGCCAGGACACCCACCAAAGGGGTCTCGAGCAGAGCACCTGGTCCGACTGAGAAAAGAATCTGGGGGAAAGTTTCTCCATCTGGAGCAGTGAAGCTGAGAGGTTTCGATTAATGTACAGCGTATTGCAGTTTAAATCTTGAGGGAGCTTAAGGAATGGTGTGAATTACCCTCGTCCTGAAGGTAAGGGAGAATGATAGGTTCCTGAAGGTGCCCCAGAGGAAAGCTGCACACCTTTCGTGGGTGTGTTGCCATCGAGTCTTTTGCCAAATGTTTGTACTGCGTGGCTTACAGTGGAATTGTTTCAGAGGGTAAGGTGGTTTTGTAGCCGAACTAAGAGGTGACAGGGGAGTCCCACAGCTGTCTGCTGCTGGCACCTGAAGTCCTGTCTCCCCACAGGGCAGGGGAGTTTAGTCCTAATGCAGCCATCAACATCTTTCTTCAGACTTTGCATAAGGATGGTGATGCTCTCTCCTGTACGGCTTACGTGCATGCCCTGAGTTTGTTTTTAAGCCAGCCTCCAGCTTTGCAAGGAACCGAAACACAGACATCCCTACTCTCCTGTGCCGGCGGTTTTTACGCCCTGTTTTTCCCAGAAAGGAGAGGTGAGCCAGAAAAACGAAGGCAGAGGAGAACATTAAAAGCAATTATTACAGACACCTTTATCTGATCAGCTGTGTAATGCCTGGGTGGTTTGAGCTGAGCATAAATCAGCTTCGTACCACTTCCAGGGGTGCGTGGCAGACGCCTCACTTCTTGCTGTGCCCCGCAGGCAAGCCGACGATTGACACGACTTCCTCTTTTGGCCAGCTCCTCCTCAGATGATCTTGAGCACGTGTTCCCCAAATGTCTCTGCTTAGTCAGCTTTCCAGTATCTCCACTGAGTACAGTTGGGCCTTCTCCATGCTGGCGCTTGCATCCGTGCTCAAATACAGCAACAGCCTCATGCTGTTGTAATGCAAGCGTGTGCCTGCCCCAGGGCTTGTCTGTGCTCTGAAAATAGGGCTGTGGTGGGGAACACCTGATCACAGTGCTGTCCCTTGACATAATGCAACCATTTTAACTTCTGGGATATACTTTTTTTTTAAAGAGACTTTGTTATGCATGGGTGCCTGAAAAGATCACGGAGGGTTTGGCAAAAGTAGGAGGGCAGCGTCCTGTGCTGCTGGGTGCACTAGGCTGGCTTGGCTGACCCTATTCTGGCCGGTTTGGGAGAGACTCATGGGAGAGGCTGGCTGCACGTGTGGTTTTGCAGTAGGCAAGCCCAGGAGATGGTTACCTTGAGGAGAGGAGAGATGGCAGTGTGCCGGGAGGGAGTGAGCTCAGTGAAGGTGAATGTAGGCAGGGGAGTTGAAACACTGGTTGCCTTGCCAGCGCCGGGACCGGCTGAATCCTGCATGGCACAGAGCTGGGGACTGAGCTGGCTCCAACCGTCATGGCAGGGCAGGGCTGGGAGGACGCTGATGTTCAGCATTTCAGCTTCTGGACTTACGCTGCTCTCCTTTAAAACACTTTCTCGTGCATCTTCCATGGGCCAGACTTGCTTCACACTGCTGGCATTGCTCCAGGTTAATAAAAAATAAGGAAACAGAAACGCAGCCTTTGGGGATGGTAAAACCCCGCTGATCCCAGGTCCTGCCTTCTGCAAAGGGGAAAGTGCAGTGTTGGTGCTGTTGGGGCCCAAGCCAAGGTGTTTCCTTGAGTTTCCCCTGCTTATCACTTGGGCTTATTACTATGCTAGGAGGTTGAGTTGCCCCATGGGAGGTGTTGGAAAACCACTGGTGCAATAGGGGAAAAAAAACCAACCATCTCCAGCTAGAGCAGGCTGGTGAGTCTCAGTGAAGGGAGTTTCCTTTCTCAAACTTTTACTTGGTGCGGGTTGGGAAGTCTCAGGAAATACCTGTCTGCCTGGCAGCAGGGGAAGCCACAGCATGGGCAGTTCTGGGAGGTTTCCTCTGAGATAAGCTGCTGAGGACCACAAAATATTGAACTCCTCCTTCGTCTTCTTCCCTTACCCAAGAGGACTGGGTTCTGCATAGTGGGGTTAGCCCTGGGAGTCTCCTATTTGGGTTATTGCTTCCTCTGGACACTCTTCTCATTTCTTTTGCTTTGCTGTTGTCTTCCCATTTGGCTTTGGTGTCCTAGCTGGACATTTGCACCAAATACCAAATGGTGAGTGGCAAGCAAGGGCCAGAGGCGTTTGGTCCTTGTTTGTGCAGTTTAGGGAGCAATCTACTAAAGGGAGAGCCCAGGTGCCTGCTGGAAGCCTGACACAGCTTCTAGTTCGTATGATCACAGCAGCAGAATGGAAACTGTCTTAAAAACTGCTCCCTGGGGCCAAGCTCCTTCATGGATCAAAGAGTTTGAAGCTGGCTCCTCCCTTCATTTCTGTGCTAAATAACGCAACTATAGATGAGACCCATCGTTTGTGCATTAATATGAACAAGGTGTCAGGGTGTGGTAAATGCAGGCAGCTGCCATTCCCAGGCTCTGCGGGGCTGCTGGTGAACATTCAGCATCATTTCTTCAGTTCGTACAGGAAAAAGGCACACATTGCTGCTTTAAACTTGCACAGATGCAAGCTAACTGAAAAAACAGCATCATATCTGTTTAAAATTGTTTGCAGAACATCATATTTTATTTTTCAGTGTGGGTCCAGTGTTGGTAGGAGAGGGCTTGGTGCCATTACACAAGACAGAGGAGTCAAATGGCACAGTTATGGAAATGTACATTAGGTCTTTTCTCAATGTGTTTATTCACTGTTCCATTTCTTCTAGAAGGAGGGACAGGAGAAGAAAGTGACTGGAATCCGCAAGTTTCACTTTGTGAGCTTGTAGCGTTGTTAGGGGAAAAAAATCCCGAAACAGATCAGAAGAAGATGAAGTTATCTTTAAGTACCACGGCCACACCGTCTTCCCACCTACATCAGTCTTGTTAATTCTGCATTTCACCCGTTAGTGTGCTTTGCATGAGCTTACCGTGATTGCGGAGGGAAGAGATTGTATTTTCCTGCAAGTTAAGCATGATGGATTATTAGGAGCAATACCCCTGGGGGGAGAAGACGGCACAGTTGCTTGTTTCTGGTTTGCCAGCCCTGAAGCAAACCTCGTCCGCGCCATGTGCACACTTTGCTCCAGCAGACCGATGTGACTGTAGACGGTTGCTCTCTTGAGCCAGGTACAAACTACAAATCTGCCACTAAATAGATTTTCCTTTTGTTGTCACATTAATTTGCAACTCATTAATAGTGACAGCAGTGAGGTACTGCACTGATGCAGATTTGCATATTCATGACCAACTTATTATTAAACAAATAAGATTTCCCTAGCTTAGGAAGCACCCAGAGTAATGCCACATTGTGCATTATATCAGCCTGGATGTTTTATTTGCTCTTTAATATGTTAATAGATGCAAGGGGTGCTCTTTTTTACGTAAATGTGCATCTGTAAAATAACATGTAATTTAAAATATCTCAATCGTTTAAATAGTAATCCATTAGGAAACCTGCCAATAATTGAGCAGGAATACCTATTTAATGTACAAATCAATTAATCAATTCTAACCGCAGGCTTTGTCGCCTGATGACCGTAACGCGGGCAGAACCATCAAGGCACAGCCAAGTCCCTGTACTGGCGAGGTGAGTGAGGGGCAGACAGCTGATCCCGTGTTTTATGGTTCGTTACAGTCAAATTGTTTGGTTTTCATAGTTGCTTTTGTTTCTTTTCCCCAGAGGAGTGGTGGGAGAGAAAGCCAAGACTGTGCCTGGTGCAGTACCCTCTGCCGCCCTCTCGTCTTACTTGCATCGCTCCAGCACGGCTGAGGGAAACGTGGCCATTGTGGCTCCGCAGGGCCCCCCCCCCCCTGCTCCCCATTATCTCCTCTGGCAGGTGCTCATCGTGGGTACCACCTTGACAGCAGTGATGGCTCAGCCCCAGGAGGAAGGAGGGTAGTGCGTGGGGAAGGTACATCCTTGTTCCGAAGGAAAAGCCCTTGGAGTTAACAGCTGCATAAAATCTGCAGGCAGGAGGAATGGGAGATATGGAGCGGAGGGCCATCCTGCAGGCAGGTATTTTAGTTCACTTGCTGGTAACAGTGAAGGTCCTTTGCCCACAAAGTAGCACAACTATTTTTCTATTGGGCTATTCAAGACTAGCCAGTATGCATAACAAAACCCTCTTCAGCTCCCTGCTGCACCTATGTTCTTCATTCCTTTCTGGCTCTTTTAACAATTTGTAAGGTACTGGGCATAATTACATGTGTGGGAACCAGCTGGTTATTGTGAAGTTCCTCGCACTCCTCAAGTTATTTTTTTATCCTGGCTTG